ATTTGAGAAAGTCGATAATCTTAGTTCATAAACCAAAAGCAGCAAGTTACAAATGTGGCAGTTACGAATTTAGACGAATCTTTGCTGATACACAAGTGAAAAAATTGCATTGTTGTAGAATTTTCAAAACAGCAAGACATAACTGTATAACGAAAGAGTAAAGCATTACCCGCAAAATGTACAGACTTCTTTTTTGCTGAATGCGACTCAAATGCTTCACGCCATTTGATTCGTTCCTTCACAGGCAATTGATCTTCATTTACGTCAGTTAAAATCTAAAACCTTTTTTTCAACACTACTATGGCAAGACATACTTGGATACCTCTTCGTGGTATCTTAAACATGACCGCAATTGCAACGGTGGTGGAGCTGAAATTTTTGAAAGATTCAAAGGAAAAAACTGATAGAAGCTTGGTCAAGAGCATATAGTGACAAACTTGTCTCCATTGGCTTTTGCTCGATAAATCCGTCTTTTTCTACCGCCCGCCGCTTCAAAGGCAAATCTGGAATCTTTTTTAAAAATAAATCGAAGAAAACTTATAACACAAGAGTGAGTTGTAAACAGAGGTCCCACCTAAGATGTCAAGCACATCTAGCGGACGTTTCTCTCCTACAACCGCATTATCGTCATCTGCAAAAAGGAACAATGATAAGGAATTTGCGCAGGGCACAGGACGCTGCGCTGCTGCAAAACGGAAACTAGTTCTGTAGTACCTGGAAATATGTCTTCGGACCAATCGAACACTGAAAAATCCATTTTAGTCCAATACAAAGACAAACAATAAAAAATAAGTTATCTCACATATTTCATGCTTTTTTTCATCTCCATCCGCGCTCTCACTTTGGGTCGTGTCGACTGCTTGAAATTTTAGTTTTGATTGCATAGCTTTTTTGACGCAATGTTGCATTTCATAATGTTGCATATTTCATTCAAAATCACCTTCTACATCCTCACTCTCCAGAATTTCGTCATCACCTATTTCTCCTTCATCTGACCAAGGTAGTTCTATGAGGGGTCCGTCTTCGCTAGAATCATTAACATTAAAACTGCAAATGTTTAGTCATAGCTATGAGACTACCTGAAATCATGGCGAGGAGGACTCGATGCTCTGACACGTTCGTAATTTTTCGCATGAATGCTCATGGCTGCGATCATATCAGACACACATATTGCTACTAAAACATACCAATAAAATATTTGGGAATTGCAAAAAAAGAGACGGACCATAATAAAAATAAATGACCTTGTTCTGCATTGATTTCCACCTTCAGTTCCTTCATTTTTTTAATCAGCTCATTCTCAATTTCAATTTGACGATTAGCCAGCTCGTCTTCATCACCCTCTTCCATGTCATCATCATCGTCGTCTGAGCTCTCCTCACCAGCGCGAGCTCGAGCCAACTGTTCGGATCTTTCTCTTAGATAAAAATGGATAGGCTCTTCAAGAACATCAGAATAGAATATTAATGCGGTAAAGTTTGTAAATGTTCAAGCATTTCTCAAAACGTAAAGATAAGTTTTTT